TTGTGTATATGTGCCACATCTTCTTTATCCATTCATCTGTTGATGGACACTTAGATTGCTTCCATGTCCTGGCTATTGTAAATAGTGCTGCAGTGAACATTGTAGTACATGACTCTTTTTGAATTATGGTTTTCTCAGGGTATATGCTCAGTAATGGGATTGCTGGGTCATACAGCAGTTCTGGTTTTACTTTTTTAAGGAACCTCCATACTGTTCTCCCTAGTGGCTGTATCAGTTTACATTCCCACCAACAGTGCAAGAGTGTTCCCTTTTCTCCACACCCTCTCCAGCATTTATTGTTTGTAGATTTTTTGATGATGGCCATTCTGACTGGTGTGAGGTGATACGTCATTGTAGTTTTGATTTGCATTTCTCTAATGATTAGTGATGTTGATGATGTAATTTTTAAAGGGATTTTTTTAAACTTTCCCTTTCTGATATTTCATTGTTAGTATAAAGAAATTCAACAGATTTCTATATGTTAATCTTGTATCCTGTTACCTTGCTGAATTTGCTTATCAGTTCTAGTAGTTTTTGTATGGAGTCTTTAGGGTTTTCTATATATAGTATAATGTCATCTGCATATAATGACAATTTTACCTCTTCCCTTCCAATTTTGATACCTTTTGTTTCTTTTTACTGTCTGATTTCTGTGGCTAGGACTTCCAGTCCTATGTTGAATAGAAGTGGTGAAAGTGGTCATCATTGTCTTGTTCCAGATTTTAGTAGGAAGGCTTTTCACTGTTAAGTATTATGTTGACTGTGGGTTTGTCATAAATAGCTTTTCTTATGTTGAGATATGTTCGCTCTGTACCCACTTTGATAAGAGTTTTTATCATGAATGGATGTTGAATTTTATCAAATGCTTTTTCTGCATCTGTTGAGATGATCGTGTGTTTTTTGTCTTTTCTTTTGTTGATGTGGTGTATCACATTGATTAATTTGCATATGTTGAACCATCCTTGTGACCCTGAGATGAATCCAACTTGATCATGGTGTATGATCCTTTTTATGTGTTGTTGGATTTGGTTTGCTAATATTTTGTTGAGAATTTTTTGCATCTATGTTCATCAAAGATACTGGCCTGTAATTTTCTTTTATGAATGACTTTGGTAGTGTTCCCTACTCTTCAGTCTTTTGGAAGAGTTTGAGAAGGATTGATATAAGTTCTTCTTTGTATGTTTGGTAGAATTCCCCAGTGAAGACAACCAGTCCTAGACTTTTTTTTTGCAGAGAGTTTTTTTAAATTACAGATTCTATTTCACTTCTAGTGATTTGTCTGTTCAAACTATCTATTTATTTTTGATTCAGGTTTGGTGGACAAGTTTCTAGAAACTTGTCCGTTTCTTCTAGGTTGTCCAATCTGTTGGCGTATAATTGTTTATAGTATTCTCTTATGGTTTTTTTGTATTTCTGCAGTATCAGTTGTGATTTCTCCTCATTTATTTGGGTTCTCTCTCTTTTCTCATTGAGCCTGACCAGAGGTTTGTCAGTTTTGTTTACATTTTCAAAAAAACAGCTCTTGGCTTACTGATTTTTTCTCTTGTTTTTTGATATCTATTTTATTTATTTCCTCCCTGATCTTTATTATTTCCTTCCTTCTGCTGACTTTAGGTTTTGTTTGTTCTTCTTTTTCTAATTCTTTTAGGTGGTAGGTTAGGTTGTTTATTTGAGATTTTTCTTGTTTTTGAGGAAGGGATTTATCACTACGAAGGTCCCTCTTTGGACTGCTTTTGCTGCATTCCATAGATTTTGTATGGTTGTGTTTTCATTGTCTTTTGTCTCAAGGTATTTTTTAACTTCCTCTTCGATTTCATTGTTTTTGACCTATTGCTTTTTTAGTAGCATGTTTCATCTCCATGTAATCATTTTTTTTCTCGTTTCTCTTTCTGTGGTTGATTTCTAGTTTCATGCTGTTGTGGTCAGAAAAGATGCTTGAAATAATCCCTGGCCTCTTAAATTTGTTGAGGCTTGTTTTGTGTCCTAGTATGTGGTCTGTCCTAGAGAATGTTCCAGTGTGCACTTGAAAAGAATGTGTATTCTGGTTGTTGTTGTTGTTTTGTTTGATTTGGTGGTTTTTGTTTTTGTTTTTTTTGGATGCAATGTCCTGAAAATATCAATTAAGTCTGTCTGTTCTGTTGTGTCATTTTGTTGCCTTATTGATTTTCTGTCTGGAATATCTGTCCATTGATGTCTTTTGAGATGATTTGTGATTTTTATCCTTCATTCTGTTAATGTGTTGTATCTTATTGACTGATTTTCATATGTTGAACCATCCTTGCATCACAGGGATAAATCCCATTTGGTCATGATGTGTGATCCTTTAAATGTGCTTTTGAATTCAGTTTACTAGTTTTCTGTTAAGGATTTTTGCATCTGTATTCATCAGGGATATTGGCCTGTAGTTTTCTTTTCTTGTAATGTCTTTTTCTGCTTTTGGTCAGGGTAATGATAGCCTCATAAAATTAGTTTGGGAGTGTTTCCTCCTCTTCAGTTTTTTGAAAGTGTTTGAGGAGGATTGGTATTAATTCTTCTTTAAATGTTAGGTAGAATTCCCCTGTGAAGCCATCTGGTCCTGAGCTTTTCTTTGTTGATTACTGAATCAATTTTATTGCTAGTTATATATCTATTCAGATTTTCTATTTCTTCATGATTTTGTCTTGGTAGGTTTTATGTTTCTAGGAATTTATCCTTTTTTCTAGGTTATCCAATTTGTTGGCATATAATTATCAGAGTAGTCTCTCATAATTCTTTTTTATTTCTGTGGCATCCATTGTAGTGACTCCTCTTTCACAGCTAATTTTATTTGAGTCTTCTTTTTTTTCTTAGCCTAACTAAAGGTAGTCAATTTTGTTGATCTTTTTAAAAAACAGCTCTTAGTTTGGTTGATTTTTTTCTATGATTTTTCTAATCTCTATTTCATTTATTTCTGTTCTAATCTTTATTATTTCCCTCTGATAACTTTGAGCTTAGTTTATTCTGTTTTTTCTAGTTCCTTGAAGTATAGAGTTAAGTTGTTTGAGAGCTTTCTCCTCTTTTAATTTAGGCACTTAATGCTATAAAATTCCCTCTTAGCATTGATCTTGCTGCGTCCAATAAATTTTGGTATATTATGGTTTCATATTCATTTGTCTCAAGGTATTTTCTAATTTCCCTTTTGATTTCTTCTTTGACCCATTAGTTGTTCTAGAGTATTTTTGTTTAGTTTCCACAAATTTGTGAATTTTCTAGTTTTTCTTCTGCTATTGAAAGTGAGGTATTGAGATCTCCTAGTAATACTGTGTTGCTTTCTGTTTCTTCCTTCAGTTTTCTCAATGTTTGCTTCATATATTTAGGTGCTCTGATGTTGGATGTATATATATTTATAGTAGTTATATCTTCCTGGTGAAATTGACCTTTTTATCGTTATATAATATCCTTTTTTGTTTCCTTTGAAAGTTTTTTACTTAAAGTCTATTTTATCTTATATAAGCATGGCCAACCCTGCTCTTTTTTGGTTACAACTTGCATGGAATTTATTTTTCTATCCTTTCATTTTCAGCCTATGTATGGCCTTAAATCTAAAGTGAGTTTCTTGCGGACAGCACATAGTCAGATCTTGGTTTTTCTTTGTTCAGCCACTCTATGTCTTTGATTAGGGAGTTTAATCCATTTATAGGTAAAGTAATTATTGATAGGGAGGACTTACTATTGCCATTTATTCGTTGTTTTCTGTATTGTAGCTCTTTTGTTGCTCTTTTTCTTTCTTGAGGTCCTCCTTTGTATTTCAGTGAATTTTTGGTAGTGAAGTGCTTTTTTCCTTTCTCATTTTCTTTTGTGTATCCTCTATAGGTATTTTCTTTATAATTACAATGGAACTTACCCAAAACATCTTATAACAATCTATTTTAAGCTGATAAGAACTAAGTTCAATCACACTTAAGAGCTCTTTTTTGTTTTCTTGAATATTTCTTTTTTTAATAGCATCCCATTCATAATAGATGGAATATTTTCTCTTATTTCTCTGAGGGTATTAGTGATGGCTTTTTGAAGTGTTTTTTTTTCGTCCTTGCATAGTTTCTGTTTTCTCCCATTTGCTTTCATTTCTTTGTTTGCTCTGTTCTCTTTCACATTAGAGGCTTTTCTCAGATGCCTGATAATCTGTGCTCATATTTATGAGTAGGGGCCAAAAACAGATTGGAAGCTCTGAGCAAATGAGTGATCCTTATTGACTTTGAGCTTCACTTAAAGTCATCTGGCTTGTCCATTTCTTGGAGAAATTCCACATCCAAAATCAGCATTTTTAGATCTTTCTTCTTGGGGTAATCAGATTCCCCAGAGAAGACTTCAGAACTCTTGCATGGGAGGGTACCACCAGCATTGTGGGAGCCTAATGGGAGGAAGTGTTTGGGGTATCCTCATCATTCAGAATGCATTATTTCTCTTAATCTCCTAGTTTTTAGGAACAGTATTCTCATCCTCAACTGTATCTAGCTCTCCCTGTGTTCAGAGAATGAACCTCCAGTATTCACCAAGATTGGGAGTGGTCTTTACCCAGTAGCATATTATAGGGGAGGTGTTTAAAGATCTAATCTATTTTTAAAGAGTTTTCAGCCTACCCACCTTATCTTAACCCCAGCTCTTTACATCCATTTCCAGAGACACCTGAATATATCAGTTCCTAAAATGTTTGAGGATTCTTAGGTGTAGATTGGGTTAGTTCCTGGCTTTCCCCACTGCTGGTTTAAGATTCAGCTTTCTTGAGTACACTCGTTCAGTTATTTTCCAGCTTCCAGAATATTGTTGCTATTGCCTCCTTTCCTTGTTCTTCCTTACCTTGTCAGTTTGTATTAAAAAAAAAAAAGTCTCTATAGTTTTTGGAGAGTTTTCTGGAGGGATTGAAATTAGATGCATGTGTTCAATCCACCATCTTTATCTGAAACTAACTAATTCCTACCACAATTAAATAGTTGCCTTACCTCCCTAATGTGTTATTTCTGGTGATCCTTGGTTTATATTAGGTGTTATACCTGAAGAACCTTAGCCCTCGGGTGACCGAAAGAGATCTTGTCTCATTATTCGCTCGGTTCCAGGAGAAGAAAGGACCTCCAATTCAATTCCGAATGATGACTGGACGAATGAGGGGGCAGGCTTTTATCACTTTTCCCAGTAAGTAGTTTCATCTGGATAATTACTCAGTTGTAGCATAAGTTCATTAGTGACTACTTATCCCCTCTCTTGTTTAGGTATAGCGCTTTGATTTCTCTACAGCACATGAGAAGTATGTGCTTGGCCAAGCACATGGGAGGCAGGGAAGAGAACTAAGGAAAACATGTTTTTAATTTTTCTCTACTTTCCCTTCTGTGCTTCCTCTCCTCCTTTGACAGTGCACGGCCACTTTATACCTTTGTCCTCACTTTTCCTCAGTCTTGGCACTTCCTACTCACGCCATCAAAATTTACTTTCCCTTTGCTGAAAATAGTATTTCTAGTCCAAGTTATAATTATGTTAATTATTAATATATTGGTATTCTGATCAGAACACTCGTACTTGCATTATGCCCTATTCCTTTAGGACTAAGAGACTGCAAGATATTATGCTATTATGCTATATTATGCTAATGCATTACTAATTCATAATTAACTAGTAGGTGATATATTCTTTTAACTATTGTTTGCATCTTAATACATGATTTCAGTATCCTAAGCCAAAGGGAGAAATAATACAGGCATATCTCAGAGATATTACAGATTCGGTTCCAGACCACTGCAATAAAGTGAATATCCCAGTGAAGCAAGTCACATGAATATTTTGGTTTCCTAGCACATGTAAAAGTTATGTTTGTACTATACTGTAGTCTATTAAGTGTGCAGTAGCATTTTGTCTAAAAAAACAATGTACATAACTTAAAAATACTTTCTTGGTAAAAAATGCTAGCCATCATCTGACAGTGCAAGGTTGCTAGAAACCTTAAATTTGAGGGAAAAAACTGCAATATCTGCAAAGCATAATAAAGCAAAGTGCAGTTAAAAAGTTATACCTGTATAGGAATTTCAGTTCCTATGACAGACCAGACTTTCTTTTTTTGGTGGAGGCTGGGTAGGAGCTGTGCCTTTTATTATCCCTAAAGTATCATCATTTATGTACAGCCTAGTAATCTATTTAAAGGGAAGTGCTTTTATACATGAGCAGTGCCAAACTCCCCTGCATTCTTTTCATACAGCATTGTACCATCTTTCCTATCTCATTGAAGGTTTGTGGATCCTCAACGCTAGTGATTTTTAGTCTTTTCAAGTGTGAGAACCCTTTTTAAACTTATAAAATTACTTCATGCACCCCCACCTAATATGATCTATTAATTGAAAACATATGTAATAAAAAGGCTTTATACACTAAGTACTTCTAAATAAATAACCATTTTAGTAATTATACATGCATTTGAAAATTTGTAGTGCATACATATATGAGACATAAATTGGTTCAATCTAAAAACATTGCTTGTCCACTTATGATTTCACAGACTCTAGGCAGTAATTCTATTCCTTCCTAATTTCCCACATCCAGGCTCTGAGACCCATAAATCAAATCCTCCTGCTATATGCTATATACTCTTACACCTCAAGCTTCCATATGCCTGCAAGCATTCTTAAACTTACTTATCCTAATGAGGGCTCCTACAACCACTCTGATCAAAAGGAAAAAGTAGCAAAATGTCCTCAATACCATGATAACTTCTTTTATTTGTCTTCCCCATTTTGAAAATGATTTCATTCTTACAGTACCTATAATCTGTTATCTAAGATAGAGGTTTGTGTATTATTAGTTATAGCTTAACCCTCTTTAACACACTGTCTGTATCCTTGTTTCTTTACCTATATCATTGAATTAGGAGAAGCTCTCAAACATCCATTTTAAGATTTTATTGTTGTTATTCTTAGCCATTAGTTTAATCTTGCTGAGTTATTACAAATTTGAGATTGTAGAAAACCCAATAAAATCAAATAATTACGTGGCCTTATAGCCTACACTGAACTCCAAGGCAAAACAACATAAACTAGACTTGGAATAAAATCGATTAAGCCACATATAAACTGATGTTTTTTCTTTCTCTTTTAGATACAGAAATAGCATGGCAAGCATTGCGTCTAGTAAATGGATATAAACTACGTGGGAAAATATTGGTGATAGAATTTGGAAAGAACAAAAAGCAGCAGTCAGATCTCCAGGCTGCTTCTCTAATATCATCTACTACAGATAATACTACAGAAATCAGTGGCAGCTAGAAGACATAAAGATTGTGAGTCCCAGGAGGTCTTTCTTGCATCAGAATCTAAGATCTAGGATTTGTATATAGATAGCAATTTATTTGGAATTGAAGAAGAGAAGCTAACTGAGGGAGAGAAAACTGAATTAAAATCCCTTTCAGCTTTTGGAAAGAATTGGTAGAAAACATTTTCTATAATCAAACACTCTCTGGGATAGACAATATAATGAGTATGGAGGATAGGGAATAAAGAGTATCATTTTCTCAGGATAAATTACAGTAGATTACTTCCAAGGGTTTTTTTTTAATCATTATAATTTATATGAGGTCTTAAATATTTGTCCCTTGAGATAACATTCTTTCAAGACTGGCTCCTATATATACAAAACTAAAAAATGAATTAAGTGTTGAAATATTTATTTATAGAGCCCATTTGTCCCTAAATTTATTTTCCTAGTAAATAAATGACCAAGACTCCAGGCCTAAACATCAGCAAATGCTCTTGAATGAGACCTATCAGCAGTAACAGTAGGTAGTTTTCATAAGTTAGTCAACATATTTAATGGACATTTCCCTATTAAGTTATCACTGTCTTCAAATAGCTTTATATTTTTTCTAATGAAAGAATTTAGATCAAAACATTAATGTTCTCATAGTCATTTAAGCTAGCTACCATTGAGTAATGATTGAATTAAAAGCAATAAACATTGAATCATTGTCTATTACATGTTAGAGATTAGATATATTAATTTTAGAAGAGGAACATACTAGCAAAGAATAACTAAAGAGGGGTAGAAATAAAGAGCTCTCTAGAAGAGAGACAGCCTACCCCAAATCCCCCAGTTGTTTGTTTGTAGTTGCTGGAGAATAGAAAGATGATATGATATAGAGGAAGTAGTACAAACTTTGGAGTCAGACCTGTTTGAACTTCACAGCCATACTTACCACTCTGTGACTTTGGCAAGTCACTTAATCTGAGCCTCAGTTTTCTCATCTATAAAAATGACGATAATAATACTACTTACCTCATTGGGTTGTGATGTTTAATGGGATAATTGTATCCAGGTTGAAGATCAGAAAGAAAAAATAATGAAAATTTAATGGGGTAAAGAACCATTAAGCACTCCAACATACTTGTAATGGGAATGTCAGAGAAAGAAAGGAGCAGAAAAAATATTCCAATAAATAATGGCTGTAAAATCCCAAATTTGATGAGAAACATTATCTACACATCTGAGAAATCTCAATGAACCCCAATTAGGATAAATAAGAAGAAATCAACAAACATACCATAATAAGAATGCTAAAACCCAAAGACAAAGAGAAACTTTTGAAAGCAACATGAGACAACTGAAGCAACTTACAAGGGAACCTCAATAAGAGTAATAGATGACTTCTCATCAGAAACAATGGAGGTGGCAGTGGGAAAACATATTCAAAGTGCTGAAAGAAAAAGACTGTCAATATAGAATCCTATATTCAATAAAGCTGTTTTTCAAAAATGAAGATGAAATAAAGACATTCCCACATAGTCAAAAACTGAGAGACTATGTTGCTGTCAGGCCTGACTTACAGGAAATGTTAAAGGAAGTTCTTCAGGTGGAAAGCAAGTGACCTCAGACGGTAATTTGAATCTACACATCCAAAAAATTAGCATGGGTAAAGGTAATTATGTAATTATAAAAGACAGTCAAAATACATTTTTCCTTTCTTAATTGATTTAAAAAGCTATTTTATAAGACAATATGTATATAGTTGCATTGTTGGATCTATAACATATAAAACTGTAATATATTTACCAATAACAAGACAAAGGAAGTGGGTGGAAACAAAGCTGTATTGGATTAAAGAAATGACTCTAAAATGGTAACTCAAATCCATAGGAACAAATGAAGAAAATAAGAAATGGGAAATAAGGTTAATATTAAAAAGTTGTAAATATATATTTGTTCTTTCTTTCAGCTTCTTTAAAAGACATAAAATTATATTAAGTAATAATTATAATGATGTATTGTTGGGTTTGTAATATAGAAATAATAATAACAATAATACCACAAAAAGTGAGAAAAGGAGTAGGTTTATATAGCAATAAGGTTTTTATATCTCATTGGAATTTAGTTAGTATATAGCTGAAGCCAATTAAGTTAAGATGTGTATGGTAAACCCTAGAGCAACCACTAAAGAAATAACTAAAAATATATAGTGAAAATATTAAAGACGTTTAAATGTTTTATTAGAAAACATTCAAAGCAAAAGAAAGCAAAAAGAGGAATGGAGGGCTTCCCTGGTGGTGCAGTGGTTGAGAGTCTGCCTGCCGATGCAGGGGACACGGGTTCGTGCCCCGGTCTGGGAAGATCCCACATGCCACGGAGCAGCTGGGCCCATGAGCCATGGCCGCTGAGCCTGCGCATCCGGAGCCTGTGCTCCGCAGCAGGAGAGGCCACAACAGTGAGAGGCCCACGTACCACAAAAAACAAACAAACAAACAAACAAAAAAGAATGGAGAAACAAAAGCTTGAGACATATAGAAAAGAAACCGTAAAATGGCAGTCGTAAGTCCACCTATGTTAATAATAAATATGAATGGATTAAACAATCCAATCAAAAGGCAGAGATCATCAAACTGGAAAAAAAAAAAAGACTTACCTCTATGCTTTTTATTGGATTCACACTTTAGATTCAAGGATACAGACTGAAGGTTAAAGGATAGAGAGAAATATCAGGCAAATGGCAACTATAAGAAAGCCGGAGTGGCTATACTATTATCTAAAGTCTATTTAAAATGGACTTTAAAACAAAAAATGTCACTATAGATAAAGAGTGACATCTTATATTGATAAAAGTCAATCCATCAGAAAGATATAACAATTAGAAACACATATTAACCTAACAACAGAGTACCAAAATACATGAATCAAAAACTGAAATGTGGCTTCCCTGGTGGCGCAGTGGTTGAGAGTCCGCCTGCCGATGCAGGGGACACGGGTTTGTGCCCTGGTCCAGAAGGATCCCACATGCCACGGAGCAGCTGGGCCCGTGAACCATGGCTGCTGAGCCTGTGCATCCAGAGCCTGTGCTCCGAAACGGGAGAGGCCACAGCAGTGAGGGGCCCGCGTACCACACACACAAAAAAAAAACCTGAAATGAATGGAGAAATATAAAAGTATACAATAAGAGTTGGGGAATTACGTACCCCATTTTCAATAAGATCTAGACAGAAGATGAACAAGGGAATAAAAGACTTGAACAATGCTATAAATCAACTAGACCTTAAAGAGACTTATGGAACACTTCACCTAACAAGAGCAGAATACACATTCTTCTCAAGTGCACATGAAACATCTCCAGGATAGACCATATCACATACCATAAAACAAACCGCAATAAATTAAAGTGGATTAAAACTATGCAAAGTATGTTCTCTGACCACATGGAATGAAGTTAGAAATCAGTAACAGAAAGTTGGGAAACACAAATATGAATTAGACACACTTTTAAATGACCAGTGGGTTAAGGAAGGAATTACAAGATTAATTTGAGATGCGTGAAAATGAACACACAAAATGCCAAAACTTCTGGAATACACCTAAAGCAGTGCTTAGAGAGAAATGTATAAGTACAAATGCCTATAATTTAAAAGAAGAAAGATAACATATCAATAACCTCACTTTACACCTTAAGACACTGGAAAAAGAGACTAACTAGAAAAAGCAGAAGGAAGGAAATAAGAGATTAGATAAATGTATAGAGAATAAAAAGTCAACAAAACCAAAAGTTGGTTCTGTATAAAGACCAACAAAAGTGATAAACCTTTCAGTAGGTTGACCAGGAAATAAAGGAGATTCAACTTACTAGGATCAGAAATGAAGGCGGGAACATTGCTACCAACCTTATAAAAATTTAAAACAAAAATTATGAAGGAACACCATGAACAATTTTATGCCAATAAATTAGGTAACTTACTTGAAATACAAAAATTCCTAAAAATACATGAATTACTGAAACCAATTGTTGGTGGGGGGGGGACAAAGAAAATCTGAAGATAACCTGTAACAAGTAAAGTGGTTAATTAGTAATTTTTTAAAATACCCATAAAGAAGAGCATAGGCTCAAATGGATTCTTAGATTAATTCTCACAAACATTAAAGAAGAATTAATACAAGTTCTTCACAAACTCTTCCAAAAAGTAGAAAAGGAGGGAACACTTCTGATATATGCTACAACGTGGAAGAACCCTGAAAACATGCTAAATGAAAGAAGCCACTCCAAAAGGCTATATATTATATGATTCTAAATATACAGTGACAGAAAGTAGATTAGTGGTTGCTTAGGGCTTCAGATAATAGCTGAAGTGTATGGAGTTTCTTTAGAACTTGATGAAAATGTTCTAAAATTGTGGTGATGATTGTACAACTCTGAATATACTACAAATCATGAATTGTACACTTTAAATGGGTGAATTTTATCTTACCTGAATTATATTTTAATAAAGTCACACACACGTACAAATACTGGTTATAACCTAAATGTCCATCAGTATGAGAATGGATAAATTATGGCACATCCATTTAGTGGAATACTATACAGGCATTAAAATAATGGATATATCTATTAATGCATTCTGACCTGTATGATGTCCAGGATTTTGTAATAAGTTAAAAAGTTATATATATATGTGTGTGTGTGTGTGTGTGTGTGTGTGTGTATACATATATGTACACACACACACATATATATATGTATATATATATAATACTTTTTTATAAACAAAAGCATTTGTGTATGTATGGTATATGTATATATAGATATTTCTGAATAAACTTAGGAAAAAGCTGGGAAATACACATACCAAACTGTAAACCTTTTAGAGGTGGGATTGGATAGGCTGAAAGGGGACTTGCTTTATAAAATTTTTCAAGTGTGATTTGGGCTGATTTTTACTTTTTTCAGTATTTTTTTAAATAAAGAAAATTTTAATATTCTACCAGTGACTTGGCTTCCAGAATATTTGTCAGGCCTGCTCTGAGGATATCATCTAACTATACTCAGGACAAACATCTATTCCTTTGATATACTGCTCACTTAGGATTAACTCCAATTTTAAATATAGTTTAAAGGACAAGAAGTAAGTTATACTGGTATAACCTCTTGCACATGTTACCCAGGAGCATACTTCTAAGCTGGACTTTTCAGAAGAAACTTCTTCCTGTTGGGTATAAAATCTCACCTCTGCCCTTTACTAGACCTGCAGACCATTAACAATAGAGGAAAATAAAAATGGAGGATGTCCCTCAACTGGTGCATAGATAAACTGTGATATATATCCATACAATGGAATACTACTCAGCAATAAAAACTATTATGAACTATGATACATGCAACAACTTGGATGAATCTCAAATGCATTTTGCTAAGTAAAAGAGGCCAAACTCAAAAGGCTACTTACTGATAGATTCCATTTATATAACATTCTGGAAAGGATGAAACTATGGGAACAGAACAAATCAGTGGGTGACGGGTTAAAAATGAGAGACTGATTACAAAAAGGTAGCATAGGAATTTGTTTTATAATGGAAATTATCTGTATCTTGATTATAATTACATGAGTGTATGCATTTGTCAAAACTACTAGAATTGTACACCAAAAAGGATGAATTTTACTGTATGTAAATGTTTAAATAAATGTAACTTATAATGGAAGAAAGAAGTTTCTCAAAGTCATTTCCATAAAGTATTGTTCCTATTCTGTGGTCTTTTGATCACTATTGAAGACTTAAAGTCACTTGGCTACTATTCCTTATTTTCTGTCCACAGGTCAGCAGAAATCATCAGTTTAAAAAAATCTATATACACATATACACACTAACCCACCATAAAAAAAAATCAAAAGACAAACTGGAAAATAATTTGCCACACACAGGAGCTAATTTCCTTAACATAGAATGCATATAGTTTTCTTAATATACAAAAGTCAAGAATCCAACTAAAAAGTGGGTAAATGAAAATTTATAGAGAAACTGAAATATAAATGCCTGATAAACTAAGAAAAATGTTCAGAGTAGTAATACAAATTAGGAAAATTAGCTCTCTTTTTTTGCTGCATCTTTTTTAAAAAACCTTTTTACATTTATAGAAAAGTCACAAAAATAGTAAAAGAGTTCCTATATATCCTTCACCTAGCTTCCCCAATGTTAACATCTTACATAACTATAGTACAGTTATCAAAACTAGGAAAATGATTTTTTTTTTTGGCTGTGTTGGGTCTTCGTTGCCACACAAGGGCTTTCTCTGGTTGCAGCGAGCAGGGGCTACTCTTCGTCGCAGTGCACAGGCTTCTCATTATGGTAGCTTCTCGTTGCAGGGCACGGGCTGTAGGTGTGTGCGCTTCAGTAGTTGCAGCACACGGGCTCAGTAGTTGTGGCAGGTGGACCCTAGAGTGCACGGGCTTCAGTAGTTGTGGCACACGGGCTCAGTAGTTGTGGCTTACGGACTCTAGGGTGCACAGGCTTCAGTAGTTGTGGCACATGGACTCAGTAGTTGTGGCACGCAGGCTCAGTAGTTGTGGCACATGGACTTAGTTGCTCTGCAGCATGTGAGATCTTCCTGGACCAGGGCTCGAACCCGTGTCCCCTGCATTGGCAGGTGGATTCTTAACCACTGCAGCACCAGGGAAATCCCAGAAAATAATACTGATGCAGTACTATGAACTAGTGTGCA